TGGACTACCCCCCCTCCCCCCCCCCCCCCCCACCCACACACACACACACACACTTAAGCTCGACATTGCCCTCGATGGCGTAAAATAGGGAAGTAAAATGATGTTACCGGATAGTGGTGAATGTTAGTGTTCGGGAGCGGAGGCCAGGTGAGATCCGGAAGAGCAAGGAGACGGCAAAACACCACCAAAAACTCTCCATTGGTCGTCTTATTGAAAGGAAAAGAGATGCAAACCGTTGATGGTTGGGTTGTCTCCCACCAAGCACTTCTTTAACGTCGTGAGTCGGACGGTTGCTCCTCAAGTTTTGGTCCACCCAAGAACCTCCTTGAAGTTGAGGTTCTCGTCGGTGAGGTAGTGCCTCAAGTCACGAGCTTTGGACGAATCCATGATTGAAGGCTCGTGAACTTGAGTTGTCATGAAGCTCCACCCACGATACCTCTCATTCTTTCCTTCTTCATTTTTCTCTTTGCCCCACACCATGTAGTGCATCATCGATTTACCACCATCGCATCCACCAAGAGGGATCGCTGATGGATTAGCCTTGGCTTGGCAAAGAGCCGTAAATGGGTCCTTCTCCAAAAGTGTGTCGAGGTTGGGTGGAAAGTGTTGGTAGCCCTTGTAACTCGTGGATGCTTCATCCTCCACAACCTCGCACTCATCTTGGACCCCATTTGCTCCTTCGGCTTCATCTTCAACCCCCCCCCCCCTCAACCACTTCTTCCTCCTTCCCATTCATGTCTTCAAGTATGGTTTGGAGGGTAAGATGACATGCAAGATCATAGAAAGTATTCTCTTGCTCCTCCACACTCGTGACTTGGTCTTCAAAGTTTCTCTCGGGAAGGGGAAAGTGATGAGAGTCATCAATACAACCTTCTTGTTCATCCTCACCACAGGAGCTCTCCGGTGTGAATTCGTCTTGGTCCACACGGTTGTCGTTGATCTCTTCGTCAACCTCTTCTTTCTCCTCCAATGATAAAAGGGCATAGCCTGCACAAGCTCGTGCCACCTTTTCTTCTAATGTCAAACCGGGTGGAGGGAGAGGTTGGAAATCCATGTCGGAGCTCGTTCTTCCAAAATTCTCATGGCTCGCCTCTTCGATTTCCTCTCTTTCTTCCAAAGGTAGTAGGTGATTGTGAACAAGTTGTGCACATGCTTGCTCTACAAGCCCTCCTAGCCTCTCCGTGTGTCGAAGGAGCTCCTCCAATTTTTCAAGAAAGGTTGAGTTGAAATGGTTGGCACTTAGGAGGTCCATGCTAGAGCACCCTTCATTGGTTCCCGGACAAATCGCTCCACCATGAGCTCTAATTTGCTCTTTGGCTCCGGTTGTGGAGTGGCACATGGTCTTGAGGTTTGTCTCATGAAAGCCTCCATGGCCAACTGCAACTTAGATTTCACCTCGAGTTGTGGAGGGAAACCTTCTTGATATGGGGAAGGTTCTTGGTATCCCCATGAGCATGGTTGCTCTTCTTGGAAGGGAGGTTGGTAGTAGAATATGGATCCTTGACTTCCTTCTTCTCGATCGTCCCATGAAGTTCCGAGGTGACCACTCTCAAGTGTTGGTGGATACCCCCACACTTGGGCGAAATCATAAGGATTCATTGATCCAATACCTACAAACACAAAAACACTAAAAAGGACAATCAAACACACACAAACCACCCTTCAAGGCCAAGAGTGGTAAACAAAACACACACGAAACACAAAACACAAACAAAAAGGCAAGATAGAAAATGCTAGAGTAACACTAAGCAACCTTTTCAAAATAATGGACCGCGGTTCCCTGGCAACGAAGCCAAAAACTTGACTCGCACAGAACTACACCTTGAATTAATCCCGACTAGAGTCCAAGTTTTTAAACTCTAGCCAGGTGCAGTATAGGGCAAGTATTTAATCGTCAAACCCGGGCCGGTCCATGTACCCCTACTTCAATCGGTTAGTTTGTTATCTTGCAAAACTCTTATTTGGGTTTAAAACTAAGAAACCTACAAATGAAAACAAGCAAGTAAAGTAAATCAAGGTTGTCCCAATGAGAGAAGAGTTCACCCTGGTGTTGCTCCCCCTATCTAACAATTACGACTTGAAGGATCGAATGATCGTGTGTGGTATGGGTGGAGGTTCGGTTACCAGTTTCTGGTTAACCAGTTGGTTAAACCGATAACCAGCCGGTTATCCACTAACCGGTAACATATATGACCAAAATTTCGTCGGTTATCGGAGGATGGACGAGATGGTTTTGGTCTTGGAGGAGGTGTTGTTAACCGATAACCGAGATAACCAAAGCCTATTTCGTTCGGTTGTCAGTTGGGGGGCTGGCCTTTCGGTTAACCGATAACCGATAATTCGGTTACCGGTTATAACTGAAATAACCAAAAATTGACCCCTAGTGTGTGGTTTGGGGGTTATAAACCGTAGGGAAGTCTAACAAGTAGTCAAAGTTTCCATCTTAGTCTCTAGGTCGAGGAAATGGGATAAGATCCAAGCCACTTATGTGACCATCTCTACCTATATTGACTAAGGAATGGTTAGACTTCACCCTCGAATTGGAGTTCGGATGGCCACCCACAAGCAAATCCTAAGTGCTAATACGAAATAGGAGGTTTGCCCTTAATTAACCTAGAATAGGAGGCATGAAATGCCCAAGGAAACCCATCTCTAATAGATCCTCTTAGGTTAAGGAGGGTTCTCACTAAACTAGTTTAGGAGCATTGAATGCCCATGGAACCCAGCTCAAATTGAGCCTCTTTGGATAAAGGAGGTTTCCTCTCTAAATTAGCCTAGGAGGCATGCAATGCCCAAGAACACCCATCTCTAATTGAGCCTCTTAACCTAAGGAGGTCTCCTCTCTAAGCTAGGTCAACATAGCACACACAATCACCATGAAAAATACCTCCACAATCACATTAAACACAACCACACACAAATCATTCAACACATACAAGCATTCACATGTTTCAAGCTAGGGTTCACAACACCCAAGTGAATAGGTAGGCTATTCCATAGCTAGGCAAAGGAAAACAAGGAAAAGGAGAGAAAGAATCATGAAGAGATGAAAATCTTTCCTCCTTGTTGCTTGAATCTCCCTTGAGAAGAAGAAACCTTCACTCCTCTAGCTTAGGGCAAGCGCAAATCTCCTTCTCCCTCCTTTGAATGGCACTCTCTCTCTAGAATAGGAAGAGGAAACCCTAATCTCTCACTAGAAACCCTCTTTTATTCTATACACTAAAAACCTACCAAAAGCTCTCCTTCTCCTTCAGCTCCCTTCTCCTTTTCACCCAGATCGGGCTCTGTTCAAGGTCTTAGGCTTCAGTTCACGGCTGCGTGATTAGTTCAAGGTCTTAGACCTCAGTTCAAGGATGTGTTGATCAGTTCACGGTCTTAGACCTCAGTTCACGGCCGTGAACATCCAAACGCATCCTTGAACACAGTAACCTGGACCAATACGCACCATTTCACTTCGAGGGTTCACGGTTTGTGGTTCCAGTTCACGTTCTTAGCGACCATGAACTGCGTTGACATCAGTAACCTCAAAAATCCTTCTAGAAGCTTCATGATTCACAGTTTGTATTTCCAGTTCACGGTCCTGGAGACCGTGAACTCCAATGCTAGACCGTGAACATCGGCTGAATCCTCCTCTTTGCCCGGTCTTTGCTCCTTTTCTTCCAACTTTTGACTCTGGGGTTGGTTTCACTTGTTAGACTCTGAAACATATTGAAACACAAGAACCTAGCGTAAAACCACCCCTTTTGGAGCTCAATTGCACAATCGTCAAAGAGAAACGGGGATAAATAGTGTACAATTAGGCCCGAATCACGCACTCCTAGCCACTATCCCTAATTGCTTTCATGTCCCACATCCCTAGCAGCGCCCAAGCGTCCAGTTGTCATTCCCCAAATCAATCTTTCATCGATTGATCATTGTTATTTTCCATTGCCGCCGACTCTGCTACTTTTGTATGCTATGAAGATCGATCACTGTCACCTTGTTCTCGGAGATCAAGATCTTGTTTTTATAGTCAATGTTATTGTTTTTAACGTTTTTTTCCAGATTGTTGCAGAATTATACGGTGGAGCCACGGTCATCCTCCAGCCATCTCTTCTTTATGTGTATGGAATGAAGAAAGCTTCTCCGACAACGGTCATTCGGATGAATGCCTCGTGTCCTACACCAGTTTACGTTTATTGGTGTCATCAAAACCAATTGATTAATGTTCATCTCTTTTTCGGTCAATTTCTGACGGCGAGTGTGTTTCATTGCAATATGAATTGCAAATTTGATTTTCTTTTCCAAGATAACGGTTAGTTGGCTTCGCTCTTCAAGCACGAGAGTTCGACGAGTTTGCATCACATTATACACAATCACATTGCGGGGGCGTGTTCTTCAAGATTGGCGTATTTTGGTCAAGATTGATGTTGTTCTTCGCACCATCATCTTGTGGGGGCGTGTTAGAGATAGATTAGGAATAATCTTATATTCCCTTGTCCTTCTATTATAGTTCTTAGTATTTCTGTCTCATTCTAGTATTGTGGTTCTCTTACTTATTGTCCAAGTCTTGTAATCTATATAAACCCCTTTGTGATTTCATAATAATACAAGTTTCTCTTCCTAAAACTCAAATAAGAGGGACCTCTTTGAGGGAGGGGAAGACTGAAGAGATAAGATACTTCTTGGGCACAAATCTCAATCAATAAAGTGCCTTCTAGTTGCCCCCACAAGTGGTTAGAAGCCAAGGGTTTTGATTTTTGAAGACACTCACATTTCTAATCTTCCAAATATTCCAGCGAAGAAAAATTACATGAGTGATACTCTGGGGTTGGAGGAGATCGTTTAACAAATAAAACCGGTCCAAGAAGGAAGGAAGTGGAAAGGGAGAGAAGGGAGAGATAGGAAAAGAACATTTCAAGTGCAAATTGCATCGGGGCATGCAAAGAGTCAATGGAAGAGTGACTCCTAACTAGCTTTGATCTCTTAATGGTATATAATATATGCGAATCACACTAGAGTATCACGTCATTGACTTAACATGGGACTAGGGAGATAATCATCCGAGTGAAACTTTCTCTACTGAATTCAACCTTGTTTTACTTGCATGTTTGTTAGTTAATCAGCTTAAAACAACATTTTCTACTACTAGATAATTTTTAGTTTGCTTAAGTAAGGATACATATAGCGTCAGGTTTGATAATTCGAAAGATACTTGCTCTATACTACCTCGATTGAAGGTTCCACTTGACTTTGATTGAGAGTGTAGTTAGAACCGAGTCACCTGGGGTGACATGTCCATAGATGATCTCAGATTTCCATGCTCTTTATTCTTGGTTCATCTAATATGTGAATTTTTATTTTTTCTATGGACCAATATCGATTTTGAAATTGTGAAGGAATGTACCCAATGATCTGTGTCAATCCAGATATCTTCACCTGACCCAATAACTCTATTAGAACGCATTGAGAAATCGACTATGAAAGAAAGTAAAGAACATATAGATTGACATGTTTCACTAACATGATACGTGCCAATCTCTAGAACTTTCATTGAGTCACAAAGGCTAGACCATAACTAAGATTCCATGCTCCCCTTTTTGGCAGAAAGAAGAATTCCTCGGATGAAATAAAGATCTTCAAGCAAGCGAAAACACATGTTCTCATGTAATTAATAATTTTCCGAGTCTATTTAGCCAACCGAGCTAGTTTGAACTCGCTAAATCTTCAGAAAGCCCAAACCCATTTTATAGAGCATATCATTTCTCTTCTACACCAATGCAAACTAATTTTTCTACATGGATCCCTACCAAAAGAAGTTATTCCATCTTCTTCGTAGGAGATACTAGCAAGAGAAACAAAAGCAGCAGATTTAGAAGAATCTCCTTTCATCCGTGCGATAGGATGATGCTCTTCCAAGATTCCCTCATCTTTTTACTTTACTTGATTGATGATATAGAAGTTTTTTTCTTTCATTTACACCACTATGTTGGCACACCCAAATATTTTGAATAGAAGTAGGAGGAAGCAAATCCAATACGAGTGATTACAACTTCATTCTCCTCCTATGGAACATTGGCACTAAAGAAATCAAGAATTTATTGATATTAACTTCATGACTTGTGATAGCTCCATCCTCATTAATGATCCCTAAGATTCTCTCCGCTTCATGCTAAATAAATAGCTCTACAAAAACTGACTACATCATCCGCGAACAAACAATGGGCAAGGACATGACATCTTAGTTTGAGCTTACCCTTGATATATTCCTCTTCTACCAATTTCTAAATAAGATATGATATGACAATGGACATAATAATGAAGAGAAAAGGGGGGAGAGAGTCCCCTATCGAATACCAAAAGATGGTGAGAAAGACTCTGTGGCCCCTCCATCGAAGAGAATTGAAAACTTCACCGTACGGATAGAAGCTAGCTCGGGCCCATTTTCACCATCGATCATCAAATCCATACTTCTCCAAAAGATTTTCCAAACAATACCAATCCACCAAGTCATATTCTTTTCTCATATCTAGCTTGACCATCATGTTCCTCCTCTCATGCTTATGTTTTTAAATGGTGGAGAGTTTCATGAACTATAATAATTTTTTCTTGGATCATACGACCCTTCATGAATGCAGTTTGAAGTTCTAAGAAAAGAGAAGGATACCACTTTTTAATATGATTTGCCAAGGTTTAGGATATGATTTTATACCTGAAGTTACAACAACTGATGGAGCGAAATTGGTTGATAAACTCCGGATGGTCAATTTTGTGGGCCATTAAAATTTGTGTATAAGGTGTGCTTTCAGTTTGGAAGAAATACTTAATCTCTCTACAAAGGGCATCACCCACTATTCCCCATAAGTGTTATAGAAATGACTAGAAAATCCATTTGGACCATTTGTTATCTCCTAAGATGAACACTACTTTCCTAATTTCTTAGCATAGCACACATGTCTTCATCATCCTCCCTATAAATTTTCCTAGGGAAGCCTTGCAGAAGATGTGAGGTGGGAACATAGTCCCTCACCTTTAATAACTCCTTGTAAAACTCAATCGCTTGATTCTTCAATCTAGCTTTGTCCTTGATCCAATTACCAGCCCCGCCTTTAAGATGAGTTATTCTATTATTATGCCTCAGATAGTACTAGATTAAAAGAAAGAAGTATTTTGGTTACCTTCTTCATTCCATTTCACTTTTGACCATTGGCACCAGAATGTTTCTTCCGTGAGCCATAACTTGTATAATATCTCATACAATGTTTTCTTCTTCTCCCATGTTGGGCTATGCTCTATGATAGTGTTGAAAAATTTCCAGATGATCACGAATTTCCTTAGTTTTTTATGAACTCATTTTATGGAAGTCATTCCACCAAGTTCTAAGATACCTCCAACATTGGTCTTTTTGGGTTAGGAAGAGCCTCCCGGGTCCCAAGATATTGATACAACACCCCACCCCCACATACTCTTCCTCTAAAGCAATCTCTTCTCCACTCTAAAAGTATTTCTTCTTCTAGTAATAGTGTTAAAATGAAGATAGAAACTAATCGTGAAATGATCTGAATCCGCCATTTTGTTGGTTCAAGTAAAAGGCCCCACTTTAAAACCCAACTCGATGAGAGCGTTATGGAAGAAGAATCTCTTGGGCAGTTCCACATTCTAGTACTTACGAGGGAATCTATTGAGTGCTATCAATGCTTGATTGTTAGATCATCGATGCTACAGACTATAGTTATGGTTCATAGAAGCCCCCAATTAACTATATGCTATCTTAACTTAATTATTCTTTATTAATTAGGTAATGACATGAACCGAAAGCACGCATTAGCTAGTTAAATCTATTTCACAAGCAGTGCATGTACGAATAGAGAGTGGCCTTAGAGGAAGGGACAGGGTGTTGCAATAGATGAACCATTGGTGCATGATATAAATGATCCTTCGTTTGCATGATCATCTTCGACTTCACAATCTAGTACAATAACATATCCTTACTTTCATGCATCTATAACTTGAAAACCCTAAAAAACTTTATTCTTCTTCCTTGTTTGTTCAAATTGTGTATGTCATGTCGGTTGTTGTAAGTAGTTATGCATTAGAAGAACTCGAGAAATACGACCCAATTCACATTTAGAATTATCACTTGTGTTTTCTAACATCAAGTTCATGGAACTATTTCTGGGTATTTCTAATCATATGTAAAAGCATCTAACCATCTTGTGTCTGGTATTGAGTCTTTTTTGTTCTATAGGATTTCATATGAGTTCAGTAGATACTAGAAGAAATGTAAAAAAACCTAAAGATCGTGGAAGAGATACTTTGATAAGGAGGAGTATCGAGTTTACCCACATTGGAGAGGAAGGAAGGAGCATCTAGCCCAGGAGAAGAAGATCCCTCAAGACCCAAAAATTTCGAGCAACCCTCGGAAGAGGAGGACAACATAGACGAAGACAAATACAAATCGAAGGAAGAAGGAGCATCTTCAACACCAACAATGGTTGGAGAAGAAGGACAAATACAAGGGGTCGTTCCACCAAATCTTTATGAATACTCAAGGCCAAGAGCATCCAACATCACCTCAAACTTTGTTGTGCCACCAATGACTATAGTGATCAGAACTCAACTCATCTAGATAGTGCAACAAGCAGGGAAGTTTGGAGGCAAGAATGATATTGATCTGATACAACGCTGATGACTCGATATTTGCACATGTTTTCCCCTTTGTTTCTTGATCGTTTAAGCTTGCATTATCGCTTCTTTGGCCTATTTTATGCTAGGTTGTGTTCCTTTGTCACATTTCAGGCCCTAGCACATAAAGTGAAGCGTAGGCGCAAGTTTCAAGTCAATCGGAGATCAATTGGCGATTAGGGAGAAGAAACACGAGCATGACCTGAAGAAGAATGGATTTCTACCTCACTTTATGGACAAAGAATCATGAAAGTTTGTTATGAAAAGAAAGAGGACGAGACTACGAGCGTCTGGGTTCAAACGGCGACTGATTCGGAGTCCGGACGAGGGAGAAACGAAGCTTTGAACAGTGGTGGAGGAAGAATTACGGGCAGGAGAATTACGACCGTAATTTCCCCTCCCATGCCCGTAATTTCACTGCCGAGAGGAGCTTTGGGTGCGCTGAAACTTAACCAAAACGCGTGTTTTGGGCAAAATACGGGCATGGAAGAATTACGACCGTAATTCAGCCCGTAATTCGCCCAGAATCGGGTTTTTGAGGCAGATTAGAGCCAAAGGAAAGGGAGAGCTGGGTTTTGGATCCCAAACACCCAAGGGACGAACCCTAGAGAGAGAGAGCGACTTGGGAACATTCTTGGAGCTATTTTGGAGGATTTCTTCGCCATTGGAGCTCGGGAATCAAGCTTGGAGATGGAGATTGAAGATCTAGATCAGATTTCTGCAGTCTCTCTCTTCTCTATGGAGTAACTTCCCTTCACTTAGGTTTTGAGGAACCCTAGTTCCATGAGTTAGGATCTTTCTTGTATGAAGTTTTGGATGCTATATTGTTTGATTATAATCGAATGATGCATGTTTATTGAGTCAATTGAAGTCTGATCAACTTTTCCTGATTCCTGCTGCAATCTGAGATAGATAGAATCTGATTAGGTTGCTAGAGTCTCATCATTCGGTAGTAGGAGATTGGCTATACGAGGGTTAGCCAATTTACTGCTTTGTACTGGAATCCAATTCCAGTAGTGGAGTTCTGTGCTTATTGCTTCAGCTTTCTATCCCGGTGAAGACTAGTCGTCTGGCGGATAGTTAGACTGAGAGGGCTTGGTCAGCTTAAGAGATTCCAAGCTACTGTCGGATCTTCCGCAGTTTAATCAACAGTAAATCAACCAAAAGGAATTACAACTTGGACCTAATTGAGGAGCTAGGGGGAATCATACCTAAGTGAGTTCCCAAACTGTAATTAGTAGTTTTAATTAGTTTAGTTAGTAGAGTAGTTTAGTTAATCAATCCTTAATCTAGTTTGCTAGATAATGAACTGAAGCTGAGTAATAGTAACTCTAGAGACCCGTGGATTCGATATTTATTACTTGTGCCACTATACTGCAGTCCCTTTCATTGGTTACACTTGGCCATTGTTAGGTGTTGTATTTTAGAGCATCAAGTTTTTGGCACCGTTGCCGGGGACTTTCTAGATTATTAGGAAAGGCAGAAGTTTGTTACTTTAGCGTTTTTCTTTTCTTTTCCACCCTTGCTTTTCACTTGGGTGTTTTTTGTTTTTTGTTTTTGTTGGTGCAGATCTGAATCATGGATCCGCGTGGCTTCTCCAACCAGCGGGGGTATCCACCACCATTCGAGTGGTATTACCCCGAGACTCCCTGGAGCAATCAAGGAGGAGAAGACTATGGATTCGGGTTCCAGTACCAACCCCCTTACTATGGAGAACAATCAGACCCCTGGGCATATCAAGAACAATCTCCTTATCAAGAAGAATTCCTCCCACAACAAGAAGGGCCATCAAATCTTGAGTTAGCCACAGCCTTCACGGGCCACTATGCAGAGCCATGCTACACTTCACTAGAAGATCTGAACAAACAATTAAGGCTTCTCGTGGAGCAGTTTGCTCTAGACACTGAGAGATCATGCTCCAAGATGGATCTTCAAATCAAAGCCCTTGCTGCTTCCGATCCCTCATTTCTCCATGATATGGAGGAGACTGTTCAGCGCTCAGCGAAGCAAACAGAGTGGGTGGAGCAAGTTTGCTCACATCTTGCTCAAGATCACCTTTCTGCTACCACGCTAGAAGAGGTGGAGGATGACAAAGGCTATGGGGATGTTGAGGAGCATACAGAAGTTATCACAGAGAACTCCCATGATAATCATGAACAGGAAAGTCCTCTGGTTGCAGATCACACAATTCCTTATTTCTGCTCTAACATGCTGGGCCCGAGCGAGGAGATGCAAGATGATCCCATTAAAGAAATTGCTTGGCGACTTGCTCTCCAATCTGTTCTAGAAGAAGAAGAGCGAGCAAGGATGAGGAAGGAAGTTGTGGAGGATGAGGAAGAAAGAAAAGAAGAGGTGGTTCTTGATCTTTTCCCAGGGGAGAGACCACATTTTGAAGAAGGAAGGGGGGTTGAAGAAGCAATTGGTGTCCAGGCTGAGAACGGAGTTAAGGTGGAAGAGGCCTGCACCGGCCATGAGTTGCAAGTGATATCCCCACCAAACTTTGAGGAACTGCTTAGCAAGGACCCATTTGCAGTGTCTCTTTGCCAGACCAAGGCCTGATATTCGGCTTTATTATATCGGATTCTTGGACTTTATGTGATTATCCCGTGGTATGTTTTAGCCAATTGGTGCTATTTTAGGGCTCGCTAACCCGAGAATGGTTGAAAAACCATTACTGCCTAGTGCCATGAGTTTGATGTATTACAGGTGAAGAAAACACGAAAAAGAAGTTGCACCGGCAAACAATTCTCGAAAGCTGGGCTTAAAGCCCAGCTGGATGGGGATTAATGACATTGGAGAGGGCGGCCATTTTATTGTGGGCCAGAAAATTCTACGGAGGGAGGAATTGGACCGGGCCTGGGGAAGTGAATTCTCTGGGAAGGAGTTTTTTGGGACGGATTCCTTTTGGAAAAAAAGAAAAAAGGCGGCTAGGAGGGAAGCAATTAATTAAAGGAAGGGATTTCTTTGGGCGGAACAGAATTTTAGGGGGGATCGGGGGGAATTCTTGTGGAGAAAAGAAAGCAGAAGGCGAAAAACCTTTTGGAAAAGAACAGCGAGCGGCGCAGCACAGGCTGGGACGAAAAACTCTCATCAATTGGCAATTGGCGATTGACGATCGGTTTCTCCAAGGTTTGAGCTGAGTTCAACGAGAGCGATTAGTTGGTTGGATTTTCTAAATCGAACTAGTTGTGTATTGTTGATTTAGAACATGATGAACAAAACCCTATCGATTTATCTTAATTTCGTCATGAACTAAACCCCAATTTCTGGGGGAAACACCATAGGATGTAGCTATTTCTTGATTTGATGGATTGATTCATGATTCTTTTCTTCCAATCTCTATTGCATGGAATTTCTTAATGCTTTGTGTTGACTGGCCACCAATACAATGATTTGTAGTTAATTAGGTTATTAGCGACAGTGAAACCCTAATAACTGAACCTATTTCATGTGACATAGTAACTTATCGAAGCGACAGTGGATTAAATAAGGTGCTATGCGGTCTTCAATAGGATATCGATCTTCAGGCTGAATAATTAGGTCATTGAGCTACGACAGTAGGATTTGATTTAATTGTTTAGTACGTAGTAATTCCCGACAGGGATAGCTAGCACATTCGTGATATCCTGGCTGTAGAGGTATGGATTAAATTGATTGGAATAGGTGAATTAATCTGGATAGGATAGGTAGTGAATCCCGGTGTTTCTCCCAGAGCTTTCTCCCATTGAATTTTCCTCGACAAGTTTACTTTGCTTAATTAGTTTAATTATTTTGCTAATAGTTAATAATTTCATCTCTTAAACATTTTCACATATAGTTTGCTCGAAAGAATTGATAAATCATAAGGTTGTACCAGTTCCTGAGAGACGATACCCGGACTTTCCGGTTTTACTACAAGATAGGAATTGAAGCTATACGCTTTTGACCTATCAAGTTTTTGGCGCCGTTGCCGGGGACTGCCATACCTTATTTTTATTGATTTTTGTGAGTGAACTATTTTGATCTGGGTGTTAGTGTGCAGAAGAATTTTCAGGTTTATCCTCCTCGTGCATGCCTAGGAGGACGACCGGCGATTTACTGCCACTAGATCTGGAGATCGAGAAGACCTGCCGACAGAACAGGAAGCAGGTCAAGTTAGGGAAGCAGCCAACCACAACCACTAGGCCTTCCCTAACCTAGAGAGGGCAGGCTTCATCACCTGTCGTCCCTACACCACCACCACCACCTCGTGACATTGAGCTTGTCATCATGGCAGACGAGGATCGTTCGATCAGGGCTCGTCTGAATCGAAGGACTGGAGCCCGAGCTTCATGTGTTGTCATTCCGGCTGGGGATGCAAACATGGAGATTACCCCAGCCTTCATCAATATGATCACTAATGGGTACACCTTCTCCGGGGCTAGCAGTGAGGATCCTCATGAGCATCTTTGCCGGTTCGCGAGCATTTGTGATACTATGAAGAGCCCGAACGTGTCTGATGATGCAATCCGTCTTCGGATGTTCTCATTTTCTCTGCTAGGGAATGCATCACACTGGTTCCAAAACTTAACACCCCGTTCCATCACGACATGGGGTCAGCTTGAGAAGGTATTTCTGGATAAATACTTCCCACCTGCCTTGGCAATGAAGAGGCAAGAAGAGATTGTTACTTTTAAGCAGACTGATGATGAGAGTCTGACTGAGGCATGGGAGCGCTACAAGGGGCTGTTGATGAGATGCCCAAGCCATGGTCTTGAAGATTGGAACGTGATCATTATTTTCTTCAATGGAATCAGAAGGGAGTTTCGGGATGCCCTGAATAATGCTTCTCGAAATGGTTTCACAAGCATGGAGGCACCAGCAGCATATGATCTGGTAGAGAAGATCTGTTCAGAAGCCACTAAATGGGATAGTGAGACCAGTATTCGAAGGAGAGGAGGCTTGCATGAGATAAACAGAGTTGCGAGTCTAGAAGCCAAGATAGATGCTAAACTGGATTCCAAGTTTGATGCACTCGAACGAAGGTTGGCCAAGATTTCTCTGGGTAGACAAGAGGAGGTTGTTTCATGTGAACTTTGCGAGGGTCCTCATCACAGGGATATGTGTCCACTGGGAGCTGCTCAGCTGGAAGATGTCCAATACATCAATAATCCGCGAAGTCAAGGCCAGGGTGGTATGTATTCAAATACATATAACCCTCAATGGAGACATCACCCCAACATGTCATGGTCAAATAATAATCCAGCTGGTGTTCGAAACATCCCACCTCCCGGTTTTCAACAGCAGCAGCCTCAACCAGAGAAGAAGCCCCAGCTGGAGGAGTTGATTTTGGCTCATATGCAGAAAACAGACAATAATTTCAAGGGCCTGGATCAATTTGTCACTCAACAGCTAGCCATCAACAATAATTTACAATCGTCTATGCTAGCTATGGAGAGGCAGATGGGACAGATGGCTCAAACTTTGGCAGATATGCAAGGCAGGATTCCTGGGACATTACCAGCAAATACTGAGAGGAATCCGAAGGATGCCATGGTTGTAGCAGTGACATTGAGGAGTGGAAAGGCCTTGGAAGACCCTAGCTGCTCGAAAAAGGCACCAGAGGCAGAAGAGGAAGCACCGAGAGAAAGATCTTGTGCAGAAAATGAAGAATCAGCCTTGCACAGGCAAAATGAAAGCGGTTTGCCTGTGCAAAAGCATGCTGCCCGTGTACCTCAAAAAGTGGAAAAATTGAAGAATGAAGAGGTAAAGCCTTATGAACCTCCCGCACCATTCCCTCAAAGGTTAATGAAGCCCATGGAAGACCCAAACTTCAAGAAATTTGTGAATATCTTCAAGCAACTTCAGATTAACATACCCTTGGCGGAGGCACTTGAACAGATGCCTACATATGCTAAATTCTTAAGGGAGTTGTTGACAAAGAAGCGGAAATGGGCTGATCTGGAGAAGGTAACCCTTACTTCTGAATGTAGTGCTGTGATTCAGAATAAATTACCAGAAAAGAGGGATGATCCGGGCAGCTTCACCATTCCATGTGTCATTGGAGGTACAGAATTCAATAAATCACTTTGTGATCTTGGAGCAGGAATTAATTTGATGCCATACTCAGTCTACAAGAAATTGGGATTGGGAGATGTTCTTAAGCCTACTCGGATCACTCTCCAATTGGCTGATCGATCAGTGAAAATTCCAAAAGGAGTGGTTGAGAATGTATTGGTGAAGGTGGGAAAGTTTATTCTCCCAACAGATTTTGTAATCCTGGAGATGGAAGATGATCGGGGAGTGCCTCTAATCCTCGGCAGACCTTTTCTAGCAACCGGTGATGCACTCATCGATGTTGGGAGAGGCAAGTTGACATTCCGAGTAGGTAAGGAGGAGGAAATTTTTAATGTCTTTCAAGTTGACCATAATCATGATGAATTTGAAAGTGAAGCTCGAGAAAGGAAAAATCCCTCTTCCTGTGATAGTGAACCATCCGAAGAACTATCACCTATCCTATCTGCTCAGATTCTGAAATCAAAGCAAGGGCAGAAATCCTTGCCAGGTCACCTCAAGTATAGATATTTGGGTAAGGATTTCAATATTCCTGTTTTTATTCCTTCTTCACTGACATTGAAACAGGAAGAGTACTTGCTTGAGGCGCTCCAGTACCACCTACGCCTCACTAAAGGGTCCAACATGCAAGATAAGAAGGTCATACCCAATTTTCGCACACCTAGCCCTGCAGAGGTGACTCATATGCTGGATGGAGGTTATGCGTTCTATCATTGCTCGGGAGGGTATTCTGGATACCTTTCCATACCCATTGGTTGAAGGCTCCATAAACGTCAGGCTGAGGACGTTAAACAAGCGCTTCTTGGGAGGCAACCCAAGGTAAGTTTTCTTTTCTTTATTTTTATTTTTAGTTGTGTCAAACCCGTGCATGTTTAGATTAGGAGTTGAACATTAGGGACAATGTTCCATCCTGAGTGTGGGGTGGCGAGTCTTAGTGTTTGTTTGTTCCTTTTGTAATGTGGTCAGTAAAAAAAAAAAAAAAAAGTTCAAAAACAAAAAAAAAAAATTGTTTGTTCCTTTTGTCATGTGGTCGGTAAAAAAAAAAACAAAAAAACAAAAAAAAATCCAAAAAAACAAAAAAATTGCCATTAGGTTGAGCACAGCCAAACTGCATGCAGTTTGCCTGTGTAAAAAGCAGTCTGCCTGTGTAAAAAGCATGCTGCCTGTGCAAAGCTAATGGCTAAAAAACACCTAAAAATCAGAAAAATGAAAAACAAAACCTTGTACTCTTGTGGTAACATGATGTAAATGATTGTGATGCGTGTGATATGAGTTTGTGCTTGAATGAAATCATCAAAATCACCCCACTAGTGTTGAAATGAGCTTGAATGTTTTGACTGACTTGATATGCTTTGAATGAGCAACTCTTTTAGCAACATTCTCTTTTGTGAGGATAGTGTAATGACTTTTGGTGAAGTGGTTAGGTGGAGAACATTGACCATTCGATATGTGTAGATACCGTGCTTACTTGCATCAATTGTGAGCTTTTGATTTGGGAATGAGTCTCTGTGTTTTGAATGTTTTATGATGGGGTGAACTGTATCTTTATAAAAGAAAACACTACCTGACAAGTAAAATATAAGAAAGTTGCCATAACAATTAAAGTGTGGGTAAAAATGCCAAAATTGTGTGAGGCAATCACTCATTGCACATGGGGATTAGGAAAGATTCAATTGAGAATCGGTTCGCGACCGTACGATGTTGCTTATCAAGTACGATCCCCAGTTGAGTGAAGTGCCATTTGAGGATGTGAAATGACCCTCCACACGGACCGAGGATAAGGAGTTAAAAGAAGCCCTTATGCGAGTGCTAAGAAGCAGAAATTGCTCTTGCTCGGTCACCGGTAGTAAGAAACAAATCCCACTTGTACTAAATACGACTTCTCGGCAAGCAAAAGCAGAAAGAGAGAAAGCCTCTCCTTGTCATAAAAGGTAGTGATGTGCTTAAAGTAAAATCATGTTTGCGAAAAGCTTCCCCCATTAGTTTTTGAGACTCATGCTTAATTAATTGCTTTTGATTGGTGTGAGTAAGCGAGATTGTCTTCACGAGATATGCACCTCACTGATGTGGTTAGATTCTCCTAATAACTGTTGCACCATAAGTTGTTAATCATCCGCTACCGACGATCGAAATTGAGTGCTGCTATTTGAGTTTTTGGTGGATTTGAGTCAGTCAATGGTAATGGTTGCAAAGAACTTGAGTGTGGGGTGAAAGATATGATCATTAAAGCACAACTTGTTCTTGAGAAAGAAACTACTGATTACAACAAGAGTACAAGGAAAATTTTGTTTTGTTTGAGTGTTTGATTGTTGAGTCTGCATTGTGTCATTGTTTTGGATGATTTTGTGTTTGTGTTGTTTGAGTCGTTGCTTAGGGACAAGCAACAATTGAGTGTGGGGTTGTGATATTCGGCTTTATTATATCGGATTCTTGGACTTTATGTGATTATCCCGTGGTATGTTTTAGCCAATTGGTGCTATTTTAGGGCTCGCTAACCCGAGAATGGTTGAAAAACCATTACTGCCTAGTGCCATGAGTTTGATGTATTACAGGTGAAGAAAACACGAAAAAGAAGTTGCACCGGCAAACAATTCTCGAAAGCTGGGCTTAAAGCCCAGCTGGATGGGGATTAATGACATTGGAGAGGGCGGCCATTTTATTGTGGGCCAGAAAATTCTACGGAGGGAGGAATTGGACCGGGCCTGGGGAAGTGAATTCTCTGGGAAGGAGTTTTTTGGGACGGATTCCTTTTGGAAAAAAAGAAAAAAGGCGGCTAGGAGGGAAGCAATTAATTAAAGGAAGGGATTTCTTTGGGCGGAA